GATAGCCTCCCTTATTTCTTTGGACACCCATGGCAGATTACCCCTTTTCTTACAGTCCTTCCTTTTCATTGGAATATACTTTTGCTGAGCACTTTGAAAAATTGCTTCGAAAGTCTTCCACTGCTCATCCCACCATAAAATCTTTGTTTCCAGTTAACTTTAGCCAAGTCCTCCCTCATTCTATTGTAGTTCCCCTTGTTCAAGCACAGGACCCTGGTATTGGATTTTATCTTCACACTCTCCATCTGTATTCTAAATTCAACCATACTGTGATCACTCCTTCCAAGAGGATCCTTAACTATGAGGTCATTAATTATTCCTGTCTCATTACACAGGACCAGATCTAGGATAGCTTGCTCCCTCGTTGGTTCCATTACATACTGTTCAAGAAAACTATCATGGATACACTCAACGAACTCCTCCTCAAGGCTACCCTGACCGAGCTGGTTCGACCAATCTACATGTAGATTAAAATCCCCCATGATAATTGCCATACCATTTTTATGGGCATTAGTTATTTCTTTGTTTATTGCCCATCCCAATGTGATGTTATTATTTGGTGGCCTATAGACTACGCCTATCAGTGACTTTTTCCTCTTAGAATTTCTAATTTCCACACAAATGGATTCAACCTCATTCTCCATAGAACCTATATCATCTCTCAGCACTGCCCTGATGGCGTCCTTGAATATCAGAGCTACACCACCTCCCTTACCTTCCTGTCTGTCCTTCCGAATAGTCTGGTACCCTTGGATATTTAACTCCCAGTCGTGACCATCCTGTAACCATGTCTCCGTAATGGCTACCAAATCATATTCATTCGCGATGATTTGTGCCGTTAACTCATCAACCCTGTTACGAATGCTACGAGCATTCAGGTAAAGTGTCTTTATGCTAGCTTTCTTACCCTCATGATTTCCAACATCTCTAATAATATCTCCTGAGTTATCCTTCCTTTTTGCTTCTTTCATAGTCTGCTTTGAACTTAAACCCTCCTGCACACATGCTAACCTGCTGCTTACCTTTTTATTTACCATCATACTCCCTGTCATTTTCCCTTTCCCTTCCCCCCAGCTCACTAGTTTAAAGTCCTAGTGACCACCCTATTTATCCTTTTCACAAGAACACTGGTTCCAGATCGGTTCAGGTGGAGACCGTCCCATTGGTACAGATCCCTCTGGTTCCAAAACTGATGCCAATGCCCCAGGAAATGGAACCCCTCTTTCCCACACCACTCCCTTAGCCACGTGTTTACTTCCCTAATTTTCTTATCCCTAAGCCAATCTGCACATGGATCGGGCAGTAATCCGGAGATTATGACCCTCGAGGACCTGTTCCTTAATTTCATTCCTAGTGCTTGATAATCCCCAAACAGGTCCTCCATCCTAGCCTTGCCTATGTTGTTAGTCCCAACGTGGACCACACCAACTGGATCCTCCCCCTCCCGCTCCAATATCCTTTCAAGCCAGTCAGAGATGTCCTGCACCCTGGCACCGGGCAGGCAACACACCATGCGGGACTCCCGATCCAGCTTGCAAAGGATACTATCTATCCCCCTAACTATAGAATCCCCTATAACTACCACTTGTCTTTTTGCTCCCCGCTCTTGAATGGCCTTCTGCACCATGGTGCCGTGGTGAGCTGGCTCATCCTCCCCGCAGCCCTTTTCCTCATCCACACAGGGAGCAAGTATCTCGTACCTGTTGGATAAGGTCAAAAGCTGAGGCTCCTCCACTCCTGAACTCAGGATCCCCCTGCCTGCCTCACTTGCAGTCACACCCTGTTGTCCCTGATCACTAACTGAATTTGAATTACTTAATCTACCAGGTGTGACTGCCTCCTGAAACAAAGCGTCCAGGTAACTCTCCCCCTCCTGGATGTGCCGCAGTGTTTGAAGCTCAGATTCCAGATCTTCAACTCTGAGCTGGAGTTCTTCCAGCAACCAACACTTGCTGCAGATGTGGTCACTGCCGTTCACAACGGGATCAGCCAGCTCCCACATCATACAGCTGCAGCACATCACCTGCCCAGCCATCTCTACTTAGTTAATTACTTTATTACTTTATCTCAATTTATGAGTTAAATACTTTCTAATACTTCTCTGCTATGGTCCTTTCAAATAACCAACTAATAGATAAATAAAAAAAGAAAGTAAATTTTTAACCAATTACACAATACAGAAGAAATAGAGAAAGTATAAAAACCTTACCTTACCAACACACCACAGAGTCCTTTTTTTTTGGTTCGAGGACCAGGGGGCTGCCGGGAAGGTAAGTTTTCCCTTTTAAAGGGCTTACCTTGAGCGTCAGCGGCCTTCATTTTTCAGCAGCGGAGAGAGAGGCGACAGCGAGGACCAGGGGGCTGCCGGGAATATATTTGGGCAGCGGCTGAACCCAAGACACTAAACGTGTAGTGTCTCTTTCCACATGTCTGGCAATCTTTGATATTCTCAGTCCCAAAAACGAATTATTTAGTATATTTGAGATTGTTAAGTTATGGGCACAAAGGGAATCAATGGTTATGGGAGTAGTTATGAAGATTCAAACTCAACTTGAAATATTAATTAAGTTTCTCTCTCTACATATGCTGCCAGTCTTCATGTATTTATGCCAGTATTCCTTTATGAGACATGCTTATGATATCATCACTTCATCATAGCATTTGACTTGTGGATAGAAAGGTCTCAGTATTGTTATAAAGTGAAGGTTGAACCCCCTCTCTGATAAGTTCCTTAACACTCACTTGACAATCAACAAGTAACAATTTATTTATCTAACTCTAACAGTGAACAAAGTAGCTAAACTATTAACAAACTTAACAAATCCCTTTTAACTGCTAACTATTCCCGAATAAAACAAGATTCTAATGGTGTGCAATTCCAATAAATACAAGTCTCACTTATATAAAATAAAAAAAAAACAGACTTTAGTCTCTCAAAACTATAGCCAGATTATGTGTCTTCTGTAATGCTCTGTGCCTTCTTCATCAAATATTGTTTCAGGAATGACTTCTCCATTGAATTCTTCTGCCAGGAATAACAACGAATTATGCCATAGATAGCTTTGATTTAGATGGTGCTTTCTCTAAAACTTAGAGAAGACTGTGAGAGCTAGTGTTTCTCTCTTGAGAGCTGTTAACTTTGGTAGGTGGCAGTTAATTCCCCTGATTTTCCAACTGCCCTCTCTTTTTATACCCTTGATGACATCTCAATTTCTTACAACAGGATTGATCCTATGTTGTCAAAACCATCAGATTTAAATTTAGCAGAGATAGCAGGAACTGCAGATGCTGGAGAATCTGAGATAACAAGGTGTAGAGCTGGATGAACACAGCAGGCCAAGCAGCATCAGAGGAGCAGGAAGGTTGACGTTTCTGGCCTAGACCCTTGATTTAAATTTAATTAGTTTTTGGTCTCTAAGTGCCTGATTCAAATTGAGTAGCTAAAATCAAAACTTGTTGTCTTGATAACAAAACAAAACTGCTGCTTAGCCTGCTAACCATGTGGCCTTTTGATACAAATGTTCAAATCAAGGGCTCTATGCACCTGCTTCCCACGGTTTGTTTAAATCTCTAAGCATAGAAAAAACGCATCATCTTTCAAAGAGAACACACACTGTCATCCCTCCTAGCATTTTACAAACACCGATATTTTACAAACACCAAATTCTAACATCCTGCCTCCCAGTCCACAAATACACCACCCAACTTTGCAACAGTATCCATCTTAGATGGGGTCACTAGAAGCATGGCACTCTATAAGAAGAATTCTTTGCAGTTATAACCTACTGGCTGAACTTTAGCCAGGCATGGTGTGTCTCTAAATGTACAAATTATACAGAAGAGCTAACCGTGATAAAAGTCTGTTGGATTTTTCATTTCCACATTCATCTGCACCTAGTTTATGTTACAAAGCATAATACATGCTCCTGTTGGCAAAACTCACATTGGTTTCACTTCAGTTTCACAATAAAAGCCTTCAAGATGTTTGACTGCCTCTAATATTATGCCTCAAGTTTGCCAGCAATCAGAAGAAAACACTCCCAATTCTGAAGAAGATCATGCTCGACTCAAAACTTGACTTGGTTTCTCGCACCACAGATTCTGCCAGACATACTGAGTTTCTCCAGCATTCTCTGCGTTTGTTTTAGATTTCCAGTGTCTACAGTAGTTTACTTTTATAATGGCAATTTAGATTTGTAAATTAAGCGGTGGTAAATGCTCTGCCAGGACCTTATTACAAGGATCAAGCATAATATGGCTCACTTCTACTCCTATTTCCTATGTCCTTGTGCAGATGGGCTTTTGTGTTCAGCGTCAGAGTCATTCACCATGGACATGTGCTGTCTGAGTAATCAGTCAGTGTTCACTTCAACTTAATCTAGTGCCTCTCAAACCTTACAAGATTGAAGGTGAACCTGATCTGTCCCCAGTTCATCGCAGCATGTGAGACACCAAATTATATTTTAAACGAGTGCAACAAGTTAAAATTCTATCTTCCCCAATAAGATTGTGAATAATGTTGAATGCAATTAACAAGTTCTGGTTTCTCTTTGTTTTTGAGATTTGCATTTCCTGGGAAAGTGCATTCTTCAAATATTGGAATTCTTCTACTTATGGGCTCCAATTCCAGGTGACAATCAGGCAGGATGCTTAAACAGAAGGGATCTGTGAGATCCTGCTCCCTACAATGTTGGCTATATTCTGCTGGTATCTTTCATTATCTATGAATTCTCAATATCTCTTCCCATCTAGAAACAACATTTTTACAACATTTCATTGCAGGTTAAACTCCTCACTTTCAGATTTATTTTCATTATAAAATAGAATGAAACAACCGAGCTTGAATATTTGCTTGCATTTATTTCAATGAGATGTGACATCAATATTCTTTATTGGGTTCCCAGCTATCATAATAACATAAAGTTAGATGCTGGAAGTGTTTCCATGCTACAATAGGTTAATGCCAGAATGTTTCAACAACAGGATCTCCTTTAGCTTAGTCAGAAGCAAGATTCAGTGAAATGTCCAAGGAATTTCCCCTTGCACTTCTTTATCCAGCTGCTCCTGTAACACCAAAGCATCAGAAATTGCATATTTTTCAGATGTTCAGATATGGCTCCCATGCTGATTTTAAAATGGGAATGAAAAGAAAGGTCACAGAAACACTGTAAGTTCATTGATTGGTAAGAAACAGCCTATTTTAAAATTGATTCAAATTGTTCTTAAACAAGTGCTTATGTAACTGTTTTGGATGTGAACATAGGAGGCATAGTCATTAAATTTGCAGATGACACCAAAATTGGAGGTGTAGTGGACAGCGTAGAAAGTTACCTCAGAGTACAACATGATCTTGATCAGATAGGCCAATGGGCTAAACAGTGGCAGATGGAGTTTAATTTAGATAAATGTGAGGTGCTGCATTTTGGAAAGGCAAATCAGGGCAGGACTTATACACTTAATGGTAAGGTCCTGGGGAGAATTGAGATGTGACAGAAACATTCTTTAATGGGTTCCCAGCTATCATAATAATGTAAAGCTAGATGCTGGAAGTGTTTCCATGCTATAATATGTCAGTGCCAGAATGTTTCACCAACAGGATCTCCTCTAGCTTAATCAGAAGCAAGATTCAATGAACTGTCTGAGGAATTTCCTCTTGCAGTTCTCCACCCAGATGCTCCTATAACACCAAAGCATCAGAAGTTGCATATTATTCAGATGCTCACAACTGGCCCCCAGGCTGATTTTAAAATGGGAGCGATAAAATGGTCACAGAAAAACTATCTGTTCATTGATTGGTAAGAAAGTGCAATCAGGGACTACTTTCCGTTCTGAGGAAGGGTCACTGGAACCGAAACGTTAACTCTAAGTTCTCTTCAAAGATGCTGCCAAACCTGCTGAGCTTTTCAGCTACTTCTGTTTCTGTTACCATTTCAAAATTGTTGTAAATTATTCTTAAAGGACTAGCTTTCCATGTAATTAACTGAGAAACACCAGGATCAAGGGAAGTCATGGCCACTAAAATAAAATAACAGAAGTAATCCAAAGCGAAGTTATTATAAGGGAAGTAAATTTAAGACATGGCAGCCCAGTTTGAGCCAGTAGTATTGTGGCCTGTATTATGTGGGAGATCATGGACCTTACCAGTGTCCTAAATGACCGCGTGCAGCTGCAGAACCATGAGCACAGGGTTTCAGAGCTTGAGCAATAGTTGGAGTCACTGTGATGCATCCGCGATGCTGAGTTTTTTTGTGGATAACAAGTTCAGAGAGGTGTTCACACTGCAGCTTAAGGGCCTGGAGGTAGGTTTGGTTTGATTTATTATTGTCACATGTACCTTGGTACAGTGAAAGGTTTTGTTTTGCATGCAGTACAGGCAAATCAGAACATACAAAGTGCATTAGGGTAATAGAACAGAGTGAAGAATACAATGTTACAGCTGTAGAGAAGGTGCATTAAGGTCGACATTAAATTTAAAATTTAAGACGTTGATTCAGAAGTCTTATAACGGCAGGGAAAAAGCTGTTCTTGAATCCATTCGCACGTGTACACAAACTTTTATATCTTCTGCCTGATGGAAGAGGGTGGAAGAGAGTATAACTGCGGTGGAAAGGGTCCTTGATTATGTTAGTTCCTTTCTCAAGGCAGCAGGGGGAGGTGATGGCCTAGTGGTACTATCACTGAGCTGTTAATCCTGAGACCCAGACAACATTCTGGGGACCTGAATTCTGCCACGGGAGATGGTGGAATTTGAATTCAATTAAAAATATCTGCAATTAAGAGTCTAACGATGACCATGAATCCATTGCCAATTGTTGGGGAAAAACCCATCTGGTTCATTAATGACCTTTAGGGAAGGAAACTGCCATCCTTACCTGGTCTGGCCTACATGTGACTCCAGACCCACAGCAATGTAGTTGGCTCTTAACTGCCCTTTGGGTAATTAGGGATGGGCAATAAATGCTGCCTGGTCAGTGATGCCCTCATCCAACGAGTAAGAGGAAAAAAAGGAAGTATAGATGGAGTCAATGGGTGGAAGACTGGTTTGCATGATGGACTGGACTGTGTTGATGAAAGGTATGTGTTGGGCCATTCGACAGAAGTAGGTAGGTATTGCAGGAATCCCACTTACAAAGCAGGTTTTCAATTTTGGAAGATAGTGAGGGTATTGATTCTTTAAGGGAGTGCAGTGAGGACCACACTTGTTGCACAAGGGAGCAGCTCAGCTGTACATAAGGTAAGGAAGAGCCATGGTAATTGTGGATTTGTTACTTAGGGGAGCAAACATGCATTGATGTGGAAGTAGATGTAACTCCAGGAAGGTGTGTTTCATGTCCAGTTACAGAGTCAAGTACTAATCTGAGGGAGGGTAAACAGCCAGAGGCCATGGTCCAGATTGGTACAAATGACCCATGAAAGAAGGGACTTGTCGACTAGAAATCAGAATTTAGTAAAGGTAGAGAAATAGCAAGCAGGTCCTCAACTGTTGTAATCCCCAGGGCCACACCCAAGTGAGTACTGAAATGAAAGGGTAAAGCAGATGAGCGTGTGGCTAGGAAGATGGTGCAGGAGTAAGGGCTTTCAATTCCTCGGACACTGGGACTGAGGGAGATGGCACCTGTACAAGACAGGCAGGTTATTCCTGGACAGAGTTGGGACTGAGTTCCATGCGAGGCATTTTGCTTGTGCCATAGGGAGGGCTTTAAATTAACAACAACAGCATATTCCAACTGCAAGCGCACGAAGCACACAGCACGTTTATACAAAGGGATTCAGAAACATAGCTGGATTCTCTCAGGGTGCCATTGACTGTACACACCTGGTACTGAGAGGAACTGAAAACAAAAGATGCTAGAGATCACAGCAGGTCAGGCAGCATTCATGGACAGTGAACAAATTAATGTTTCAAGTCTAGACGGCCCTTCACCAGAGCTAACGCGAAGCGTGGCGGGGGCAGAATTTATGTAATAGCTGCGGGGGAGGGGGTGAGATGGCGTGCTGCTTGAGAAAGGATGTTGGAAGTCCAGATTAAATGATCGGAATGTGAGATTGGCAGAACAACAGTGGACTAACTGGGCTGTGTAAGAATACTGCAGAATTTATCAGCAGACAGAGTTTGCATTCCTGCGATGGTGGGACTGTACTCCGAGGAGAGATTGAAGAAACTGGCCCATATTCTCTGGAGCTTAGAAGAGTGAGAAACAATTTCATATAAACTCACAGAGTTTTTAAAAGGGATAGACAGAACAGATGCAAAAAGGCTTCCCCAGCTATGGAGTTTATAAACAAGGGACACAGTCTCAGAATAAAAGGCATGCCATGAAATGAGACGCTATTTCAATCGTGCGATTTTTTGGGATTTTCTTACTCAGAGGGCCATGGAAACTCAGTCCTTAAGTAAGATTCAATTCAGAAATTGACAGAATTATAGTTTTCAATGACATCGAGACATATGGGGAGAGGAGAGAGGTATGACGTTGGAGCCAATGATCAGCCATGACCTAGAAAGGTAGAGCAGGTTCAAGGGGTTTTATAGGTTCCCATGTTCTTAACCTATCCTCACTGTAAAACTCTCTATCGCACTTCTTCACTGTACTAGTCTCTGAAAAAAAAATCCCCATGGTGACATTATAACATACACTCACCTTCCACAATACACTTCATTTTGGCACTCAATATGCTCACCGCAATACTCTTTGTATGACAGATTCACCGTAACAAATTAAATAGCACATGTGCACTGTGACACTGTGTATCACACTTCCTCAGTGAGATTCTTTCGACAACACAAACTATTGAATTTTTCTCTTTGTAATGAGCTGTTAACGTCCGCACAAATATCATTGCCGTATTTGTGACTTGGAGAAATTATCATCAATTACAATATGAATATTGAAAAAAGTGAGTGAAGAAAATGAATACTCTACCATACCAGGCTTCCATTCCTTGACGATTCACAATGACTGCAGCACATAAAGTATTGGATACTAAATTCTTATTGTCCTGCAGGAACTCTACAACAATAAAATAAATGTGATATTACTGGGAATATTTGTATCTGAAGAGTGTTTTAACACGAACTTAGAAAGCCCCGGGTTGAGATGTCCCTTGGGTTGATGTTTCTGGAAGCTTTTAATGCTGTTGTATGGGACAGGGCTGTAAATCCCTGGAATGGACAGTGTTTGCTGTTCTAGATGGTGTGCTGTGGTGTAATGAGTGTCTAAATTTAGCAGTTAGCAGTGAGTGGAGACAGCATGAACGTCTGTAGAAAATGTCAGGCCTTTCCTACTCAACAAGGTTCCACAATC